TTGTTTCTCTGGTCTGCTGGGGGGGGGTTCTCCCCCCCCCAGCTGACCAGGGAGACGTGGAGCAGCTTTTCTCGCCCCGGAGGACGGGGGCGGCGGGACTGCAGCGCATCTGGGCGTCCCGCCGCTCCAGTCCTTCGGGGCGAGAAAAGCCCCGTTTGTAACATAAGTCGGATCCGCGTAACTCAGGGATTGCCTGTAGTTCTACCCTTTAGTAACATATGGGAATATTTTTGCTTTGGCATCTTCAGGATCTTACTTTTGTAGAAGTCACTGGGAGTTTTTCTATTATCCTGCTACTACTGAAGTTAAAGTCCTTAAGTAAGGTGAAATAATTAGGGGTGAAGGAAAGTGCTCAATTGACCGAGGAGTATTACAGGAAAGAAGTCATGAGTTTGTAATGGATATCATAAATCATTTATCAGGACAGTGGAAAGATGATGTATCCATTTTAAAAGTTGGTAGAAAGATTGGTGCGTAACATAATCAGCTGTGTTACAGGAGAAAAATTTAGTCTGTTAACCATGTCAACCAAAGATGCATATATGTGGCCTTTTGAATTTGATTCAGTATGTGTTATTGAAATTACCTTTTACCACTGATTCAAAGGAGGATTGATTTCTGGTGAAGTCGGCAGAGAAAGTTCCACTGTGGATAATGTAAATGAAATAAGAAGGTGTTATAGGGATATAAAACCCCATTTAATTGGTTAACTGGTTAAACATGATGTTTACTTACTTAACCGATTAAAGGAAGGATGAATGGAGGGGGTCACTATAGCTAACCCCTCTCCTCCCAGCCCTGGATGCGGCTGGGCTGGATCACCCACCCCACCCACTGCAGGGGCTGCTTTTGCCAGCTGGAGTGACCCTACCTTTAGCAAGCCTTGTGGGGTTGGAGCAGTCCCCTACCTGCAGTGGGCGGGGAGCTGCTCCAGCACCCACCGGTTTACTGTTTTACCATTCACATCCCTAGTACAGTACCCTTCTGTTACATGTATGCACATCAACAACCCTGATATTCTTAGATGGAGGGTAGAATTTTGGAAAAGGAAAGGTTCTGGCTTCGTGTCGCTGTTCTTCAATTTAGGCTGCTGCTGCTTTGTCATGCTGATGGTTAGGCACTTATATAGCACATGCCATTTTTTATTTTTCTATGAGAACATGAATGCTTTTATTACTAAAGAATAAGATATTTATTCTGCATCTACCTTTATCTCTAAAACAAATACTTTATCTTTATCTCTCAGCACAAATACATAGGAAGTGCAATGTAGTAAACGTTACACATAAATCGAAGCCAACGGCAACATAGATTTTTTAAAAAAATGCATCTACTTTGTTGCATCATTAATTTCCCCTAATTCCAAACAACAAAGCCTCTTCTAAACACACCAGCCTCCTCGTAAACACAAAAAGAGCAGCCAGATGCTAAGACCTCAAAGGGGATCAGAAAACCAAGTCCATGAATAAATCATTCTTATATTCAACCAACACTAGGGATGTAAAAAACTGGTTAAAATGTAACTGTGTAACAGTTAAAAATCCTAGAAGCTACACAGTTACATGCACTGCAGGCTCTGCCATATAAAGCTTATACTACAGAGCCGATAGCACTGCTGGCTCTCCAGGAGTGGGGCTGGCAGCCAGGTGCCAGTGTGTGCCGGGAGCCAGGTTATAGCATGGTATAAGCCAGCTGCTGGCCCTGATCCTGGGGAGCCAGCTGCGCAGTGGGCTCTGCAGTGTAAGCTTTCTACTGCAGAGCCTGCATCGCGGGGCAGCTGCCCAATCCCCAGGAGCAGGGCCAGCAGCTGATGTGTAAACATAACAGAAACTGATAAGAGGATCGATAAGCGGATGCTTATCAGTTAACTGTTTAAACAGTTACACTCTTACATCTCTCGTCAACACATGTTCTACTTCTGTTTTAATAAATATTATTTGCTTGGTCTGTGTAGTATTGACTTTATAGGATTCTATACTGTAAATTTAGCCAAGCTCATGTGAGTAAGAGCTGCATGATTAGGACGTACATCTTTTATAGGCAGTATGAGAATATATATTGAATTAAAGCTAGGCCCTTAGAAAGGGCGTTCACTGCTTTTCTTCTTTCTCTCTCCTTTTGAAAGGAATTATTCCTCCTCACCATGAATCTCATGCTCTAGTGATGAAGTACCGAAAGGAACAATATTGGGATGTGTATCATGCCCTTCAAGTAATTCGGTTTATCAAGGATTCTACCCCACAGGTCGAAGTTTTCCTCCGCATGCATCAACTGGAGTCAGGAAGGTTGCCTCGAAATCTGGCATTTCCTTTGGTCAGTCATTGTTTTCTTTGGCTTTCAGCAGAACTCCTTCTGACAAAAGAAGCATTACTCTGAAACTATTACTAGCATGAAAAAGCTGCACAGAGATTAAATGAATTGAATCTAGAGCAGGATGCTAATATCAAATACTATGTTTTGCTCAAACTGTACATTTATTCTTTTTCCTCGTTCTTGCGTAAACTTTTATTTCTTAAAAGCTTTTCTATGGTTTTTTCCCCTGGGCTTTGTAGACTTTTGTATTCTAGCTTCCACTTTCATTTCTTTTTATGTAAAATACCTTAAAGCAAATGACAATTTTGTTTTTTAATCAGAGTTTCTTGAATGTCTTGGGGTAGGGTCACTAAAAGCAGTGATTTTTAAGGCAGCTTTCATTATGTTACTAAATTATTCCAATTTACTAACCTGGCATTTTTGATAACCTGAGCTGATTTTGGATTTTATTCAGGTATTTAGGACTGCTACAGAATGTTTTGATAATTGATGATGGGAATCCAAGGCAAGCAGTTTCAGTTCATTTCCATTACTTCTATTCTCTTTCTGTGTCTGAAAGCAGAGAGCATAATATAATCTTGGTGACTGGAAAATCTAATATTTAGCGAAAGGAGGAGAGTCTGCATTTCATGTACATAATGAGTTGTACTTTGGGGATAAGGGGTCTTGTCCCATGGGAGATAGTTTACTTATATCCAGGTAATTAAAAATGTACAGAAATAGCCTTTTATCAAAAACAAAACCATTCTCTAGATATCAATATATGTTCTAAACAAAGAATACGTCTATAAAAAGCAAGCATTGTGGTGTGCAAGGAAGGAGATGGTCCCACTTATTTGGTAGATCACACGCCATTGATACTGACTCATGTCACCTGGTACTGAGAACTTTTTATTTTTTATTACGTGACTGAACCACTCTAAATTTCTGTCCCTTTGATTTAAAAATATAAACCCATTTTTATTTATGTATTCATTCAATTTTTACAGAAATAGTTGTGTAGTTATTGCTAAATGCTTTAATGATGTCAGTACAATTTCTCTTTTCACATACTTGTTTCTCCCGATTCATATATCAAAATTACAGGGTCAGGAAGTAACAGTAACTCAGCCCAACAATTCTGTGGATCCCAATTTTCTTCTTTGTTTTCTAGGAACCAGAAGATGAAGTGTTTCTTGCCATAGCTAAAGCCATGGAGGAAGTGGTGGAAGATAGCATTGACTGCTACTGGCTGGTCAGTAGTTTTGTGAATCAGTTAAACAACAAATACAAAGATTTCTTACCACAGCTGGTAAGTACTGTTTTTGAAAAAGAGACACTGGGTGGAGTGTGTGTGGGGGAGCTGTGACTTGGTATCCACTGATCATCTTTGGTGCTGTGTCTGGGACAGGGGTAGGGAATCTCTGGCCTGTGGGCTTGATCTGTCCCCCCTGCTTAATTTCATCTGGCCTGCAGCAAGTCTCTGCCATGGGTCTGGAACCCAGAGCTTCAGTGTCCCGCGGTGGGGCTGGAGCTGCGAGCACCAGTTGATGGCGATCCAAGAAGGTCTGCGTACTTTCCTCACCTGTATGTGCCATAGCTGCAGTTCCCTTTGGCTGGGAACTGCAGGCAATGGGAGCTGTGAGGCGGCATCTGCAGGTGAGGGAAGAGTGCGGAGTCCCTTCTCTCCCCAGGGGCTGCAGGGACATGCTAGCCACTTCTCTAGAGCTTACCTTCAGGATTTGGATGTTACAATTTGTTTATTCAAGTAAATGTGTGGTTACACGCAGGTGGTGGGAGGGAGTCGGCTCCCTGGGAGCAGGTGCTCATGGGAAGTCTGCTTAAAAGATGGCTTCTCATGTGTACCAACTCCTGCCTGCGCCCTCTCCTCCCATGCTGCTGCCTGTGATACAGAGGCAGCAGCGTGGCGGGGAGGGGAGGAACTGTGTGTAACAGTGCACAGTAACTGATGAGCCCTGGCTCATTGGTTAATCATGTAAATGATTACACTTTCACATCCCTAGTAAGCACCCCACATCTCCTTCTGCACCCTGTCCCAGCCCCTGAGGCCCTCCCACACCATAACTCCCTCCAAGAACTTACACGACTACCCCCGACCAAGCCCTGAGCCCACTCCAGGACCCTCACCCCCACTCCAGTCTCCTGCCCTGAGCCCTCTCCCACACTGCAAACCCCTTTGACCCAGCCCAGAGACCCTCCCTCTGCACCCCAACCCCTCTAGCCCCACTCCACAGCCGCACCTCCAGTTGGAGCCCTCACCCTCCTTCCATACCCCAACTCTTTGTCCCAGCCTGGATACCCCTCCTGCATCCTGAACCCCTCATTTTTGGCCCCAGCCCGATTACAGGGTTGCTAGCTTTCTAGACTGAACAGAGTAGATGCTATTGCCTGAGGTCATGTCTTCAAACTTAACTGGAATTCCTACAACTGCAGTTGTAAAAATTATTTTGATTTTAACCAAAATCTATCACAGGCTTAAATACATTTACAATTTTGTACAGCTGGTCACCGAGTTACGAATGCATTGACTTACAACCGTTCGTAGTTATGACTAACTCCCATTAAGCACATTACAGCCGGTCCCTGAGTTACAAATGCGATCCGTGCTTACGAATAGCGCAGCTGCATTTAAATGAATGGGGTCCAAATTACAAACAGATCGAGTTACGGCCAAGTGTTTGGTACATAATTTGTTCGTAAGTTGGGGACCGGCTGTACTTTGCATCAGAGCGCTTATAGAACTGTCTGATACAATTGTTCTGTTTCTACTACTATACTGCACATTACATATTCCTCATTAGTTAATAGGCAACAGTAGCTGCTGCTGCTTTTGAACTGAGAACAGGGTTTTTTGTTTCAGGAAAACAATACATTTTGTATCAAATTGCAATACAATGTCAGTCTAGTAGGTTGAGTTCTTTTGTTTGTGGACATTTAAAAGTTTCTGTACAATAATTTATACAAAACAGGTATTAAGTTTCTTCAGAATTTCTTTGTTAAATGCAACTTGAAGAAATTTTGTTTAGGTATACTGGCATTTATAAGAAATCTGTTGCTTTTTCTAGACCTTTCTAATTTGTCAGATAACATTATAATAAGAAACCTCTTCTTAAACAATGTCCACTCATGTAAATAGATGCCTGGGAGTCAGATCCTGCACAGTTGAAGTCACTGAGTGGAAGCTCAAGCCTTTAATGTAGATACATATTGCTGTTATAAAATAGTTGTTTGTAAATCCACTGTCTGTACTGTAGTTAATATCAAAGGTGAAAGTAAGTCAGTGTGCGCTGGTGCACTGCACCTGTAAGAGACTGGTTGGGCTGGGGGCAGAGTTCTGGATGCTGCCAGCACTCTGGGCAGCACGGTCCCCACTATCCCGGTCAGCCCCAAGCTCCTTTCTCTCACACACCCCAGTTCACTGCCATGAGGCCCCCCAATCCCTGCCCCGAGCTTCCCCACGACCACCTATCCTCAATCATTCACACGCCCTCCCACCCTCCACAGCCCTGCCCTGAGCCACTGGCAATCCATCCCACATTTACATTTTTTACAGGTACTGTTCTATCGTAACCCACCCCCAGCCCTCTGCCTTGACCCTTCCCCCCTCAGAGGGGATTGCAATACCACAGTACCTGCAAGAAATGTTAAGTTTATTTTTACCCCTGGTTAATATACTCAACTACACCAATTACTATAATTATTAAAGTGTCCCCATTAGCAAGAGTGGGGCTATACATCCTTCAGTCACAGATTTTTTTCCAATAGTTTATGTATTTGATCAAAAATAGGGATTTTGGAAAGTAGCCAAAGGAAAATATTTTTGTTCTTTGAGAAATGAAAAAAAAATAGCCACTTGTCGAGCTGTGTCAGCAAATAGTGAAACTTCTGTGTTTTTGTATAAAAACAGTGGAAATATAAATGCATAATGATTTTTAAAATTCACTCATTTTTAAACCCCACCATTATATACTAATTCTGCTGGTCTTTCTAAAATCTTTCTGACAAGCTTTTTAGAAACAGCAAACAATGCTTTTAATATTGATGCGCTTTGAGGTGTGATTTCTCTTGTTTTGCTGCATTGTGTATGGATTTTGTGATGTGCTCAAATGGGGCTAGATTTGAAATGCACTAAGCTGAATTTTACCTGCAATGGTAGCAGCAATTGAATGCTGGCCCCAAAGGGTGAAAGTTCAGTGCAGGTATAATCCTTTGCACCTCCTGAAATTCTGGCTCTTTGCTACACAAAGGAATGAATGGTACAGTATTTAGAAGTCCCCAAGCAGGTGATTTTTAGGAGGAGGGAAGAGAAGTTTGTTTAGCAAAAATCCTATCAGCCAAATTTCAGATTTCACTAATCTTTGCTGTAGGTGAATGTGACCTTGCAGTACACTATTTAATGTTAATATTTTAACACTTGCTTTATATATGTGTTTAATTTTGAGAGACATGTCTTAAAATGAGAATCAACTCTGAGTTCTATTTGAGATGAGGTGTGTAAAACTCTTCCTTCACTGTTCTTTCTACAGCCAAAAGTTCTTGAACAGTATTTGAACATGGAAGATAACAGACTTCTGATGCATCTGAAGGCATGCTCTGCAATGAGCAAACTTCCTTACAACCTTTGGTTTAAGAAGTGTTTTGCAGGCTGCTTACCTGAATCCAGTTTACAGAGGCGAGTGTTCTCTTCTGTTCGTTTAGGAATTTCAGTTTTATATAGCTGCAAGTACAATATAACTCCCCTTATTTCATCATCCAGAATATTAACTAATTTTGAGGAAAACTGATTTTCAAGTAGTACTGATTTAGAAATCATAATCAAATTGGATGTCTCATTTATTATAGCTATAAGAGCTTTTTAAAAGTGTGGATTTTTTTGGTATTTAAAAAAGATGAGGTTAACAATTGAGAATTTTGGTTGCGTGTGCTAACACCATTTCCAGCCTCTTAATATTTAAAACACCAAATCCCTAATTTGTGATTTACAGATAAAGGCACTAGAATTTTCAGATGTTTAGTTGCATTTGCTACTCTAAATGAAAGTTTACTCTTCATTATCATTGAATTATAAAATGTAATGGGAGGGTTTTTAAAAAAAAAAAAAATATATAGCACTTGACATGTTAAATGCCAAAATAAAGCATAGTATAGGCTAATCTATGCTACACAGGCTTTGCTAATACAATTGTTAATATAGTTATACCAACAGAATCCCTAGTGGAGATGCCAGCTTGAAGGATTGGAGCCTGTTTATCACTGTAGTAGCAAAGTGTTTTAAAAATATGTACAGGAAGTCCCTGGGTTATGTACAAGATAGGGACTGTAGGTTTGTTCTTAAGTTGAATTTGTATGTAAGTCAGAACTGGTACATATTGTAGGGGAAACTCTAGCCAAACATTTCTCCAGAGCTCAGTTTTATTCTCCCACACCTCACTTCCCTCAGTCCTGCAGACCAGGGAGACGCGGAGCGGCTTTTCTCGCCCCCGGGGGCTGCTGGGGGGGTTGGGTGGGGGGGGGGGGCGCAGCTAGTGCCGGGTTGCCCCACCCCATTTGTAAGTAGGGATCCGATGTAAGTCGGATCCATGTAACCCGGGGACTGCCTGTACTTTAAAATGCGTTAGTCACTCATGGTAGCTGGCATTCTTGCTCTGTCAATATCTGAGAAACAAAAGGAATCAAAAAATGTAAGCCAAAACTATTATTTTAATACAATTATTTCCTCTTCATTTCCTTCTGAGAATTAATTCAAGTGCTTGCTCATTTTATTTCCATGTTAACGGTGTGCTCACCCATGAGCATGGCTGCTAGAGATTTTCCCTCATGTGCTATCTGTAGGCTCGGTCTGGCGTCCCCTAGAGCCCTACACCCATGCACTGGTATATGGGATGCTGTTGGCTCCTCATTCTCTCATTTCCTCCTTACCATCTGTGGTGGTTGCAGAAGTGCTTTTTGGAACTGCAAATTCCCTAGGGGGTTTCTTGGACTGGTTTAGACTTTTCTCTTGTAAATAGTTAAAATAGTTGAAAAGCCTTCCAGGGCATGCTGTTGTCCCTGGGCTTCATGCTGTGTGCTGCCTGTCACAAACTTATGCCCACGAGCAGCCTATATATGAGCTGCCTTAAGTGCCTGAGGGGTGGAAGCTACCCTCCACCCAGCTTCAGAGTCGACCCGCACTGAGTAGGCACTGAGCATGTGGCCCCCAGAGGACCCAGCAGGAAATCCTCTAGTGAATTGCCTCGAACTTGGGGTTAAAGGAGGAGGAGCTTGAGGAGCCGACTAATAACCTCTTCCACATTCTGGCTGCAGTGACTGCTTCCAACCTGACCCTACCAGTGCATGACTGAGTTCTGAAGCTCTGTGGCAAACTCTATCTACGGTGCTTCCAACAATTAAAAAGGCAGAGAAGTACTATTATGTCCCTGTGCAGGGCTTTGAGTACATGTACCCGGACCCATACCCACGGTCACTGGTGGTCCCAGCTGCAACTGAGCAGGACAGACAAGCAGCATAGTGCAACCCTTAAAAATAAAGACACCAAGAAACTAAATCTTTTTGGTAGAAAGGTGTATTATACTGTCAAGTTACAGCTATGTATCACCAACCAGCAAGCTTTGCCAGGGTGATACGATTACAGTGCATGAGATGTATGAGATTTGATGGCCAAATACAAGGAATTCCTGCCCCAAGAGCTAAGGCAAGAGTTCTCTGTCCTCATGGAAGAGGGCAAGGCAGTGGCCAGGGCCCGTCTTGACGTGGCATTGGGTGTAGCTGGTGGCATTGGTGGTTTCCATATGGCATAGCTTTTGGGGCTGTCTCACAAGATGCAGCAGTCCATGCAGCACCTTCTTTGAGGGCTATGTTTTGTTTTTGGAGCAGACAAACACCAGGCTGCATGACATGAGGCTCTGTCCTCATGGAAGAGGGCAAGGCAGTGGCCAGGGCCCGTCTTGACGTGGCATTGGGTGTAGCTGGTGGCATTGGTGGTTTCCATATGGCATAGCTTTTGGGGCTGTCTCACAAGATGCAGCAGTCCATGCAGCACCTTCTTTGAGGGCTATGTTTTGTTTTTGGAGCAGACAAACACCAGGCTGCATGACATGAGGACTCCAGGGCCACTCAATGTTTCTTTGGGAAATATACACTGCTGGTCTTGAGAAGGCACTTCTGGCTGACACCTAGGTTTTTGGGTCTACCTCGGCAGGGACTCTAGAAGAGAAACAACATAGGCTTTAAATGCTGCGAGTCCACCCCGTTATCCTCGACCCACACCCCCATCAGGTATTCTATTCACTCTAATAGGCCATGACAGGCATATCAAGGGTATACCCAAGGATAGCTTATCAGGGTTACCCTAGGATCCACCTCCCACTTTTATTTCTGAACTTTGTCCCCTTTTCTTGCAGCATGGGCCTGTGTTAACTCGAACTGTTGGGTGCTCAATGCCATAACAACTGGTTACATCCCTCAGTTGTCTTCCACCCTCTTTTGGAACTCTTCTCACAAACAGCTTCTTGTCTAGGCGGTTGAATCCCTTCTGTGGAGAGGAGCCATGGAGGAAGTTCCTCAAGAGATGAGAGGGAAGGGGTTCTCCTGGTATTTCCTACTCCTGAAGGCCAAGGGGTCTTTTACACCTCCACCGCCTCAACAAATATCTCAAGTTGAAGTTGTGCATGGTCTCCCTGGCTCCTCTCATTCCCTCCCTGGATCCAGGAGAAGGGTATACTGTCCTGAACTTGAAGGGCACCTATTTCCATAGTTCTATTTTTTGCAGACAGAAGAGATTCCTCTGATTTGAGGTCGGCCAGCCTCGTTGTCAGTTTACTGCTCTGACCCTTGGCTTATCATGTGCTCGGAGGGTCTACACAAAGTGCATGACCGTGGGACAGCTTTCCTACCTGTACCATGACAACTGGTTTATCAGAAGCAGGTCTCAAGCCCAGGTCCTGCATAGTCTCACCTTAGTATGGGCCACCTGTGAGGAGCTGGACCTACCTATAAATGAACAGAAATAAAACGCTGACCCTAGTCCATCAAATAGCATTCATAGGTCCAGTGCTAGGTTCTGACCTAGAGTCAGTCTAGCAGAGACCTGATTCAGAGGTCATTGCAAGCATCAGAGCTCATTTGTTCATGATTGCTTGGGTTTGCCTCACGCTGTTAGGTGTGCAGCATGTATTTATGTAGTCTGGCATGCATGGCTGTCCCTCAGACCCCTGCAGATATAGTTGGAGTTGGTCTATGCCCTTGTCAGACACCATTTGGACTTAAGTGGTCACAGTTCTGTTGAATGTACTTGAATTAATGGACAGGCTTGTGATGAGTGTTGGCAGGGGTTCCCTTTGTGGCCCTGCTCCCATCACATTGGTCTCTAATGCCTTGGATCTGGGACAGGAAGCTCACCTTGGCAACCTTGTAGGCAGGGCCGTTGGTCTCAGAAGGGTTGCTTCTGCCATATAAATGTCAGGGAGCTCAGGGTGGTATGCTTGGCTTACCAGGTGTTCCTACAGTTCCTAGAGGGCAGAAGGATGCAGACATTGATGGACAGTACTGCCACAATGTTCTAAATCAATAAGCAAGGGGGAGCTCAGCTGTCTGTGCTGAGTCAAGGGGTTCTCCAGCTATGGGACTTCTGGGTGCAGTTTGCCATTCATCTTGAGATGTCTCACCTCTTAGGAGCCTGAAATTCACTGGCTGATCTCTTCAGCAGGTTGTTTGGTCACTCGATCCAGAGGTGATCACTCTGATCTTCCGGAGTTGGCAGAACAGGAAATGTCAGCAGTTTTGCTTAGTACATGGGCTCAATAGAGGTCCTCTGTTGCGCACTTTTCTGCTCTCATGGATAGGATCACAATATATACTTTCCCGATGATTCTCCTAGTGCATAAGATGCTCCTGAAGGGCAAGAGGGATGAAGTAAAAACCATTCTGTTGGCTCTGATGTGGTTTCCTCAGCACTGGTTTGGTACATTTTTGGCACTTTCCTTAATAATCCTGTTAGAGCCCCTTCACTGACTGAACTTGCTCTTACAAGTCTGCTTCACCCAAGACTAAAATCCCTGCATCTGACATTGTGGCTTTTGTGGACTGAATGTGGAGGAATGAACCTGCTAAATGCAAATCCGATACCTTGTATTGGGTAGCAAGGGCAACCCACCTAGCCGAGTGGACATGCTTAATTTGTTGGGCCTTGGGCCAAAGTCTTCCCCCCCTCTCTCCTTGCTTCAGTCCACATTAGACTTACCTGCTTCACCTCAGCCGCCAAGGGCTGGCCATTTTATCAGTCAAGGTGCATCTGGCAGCTGTCTCTGCCTTCCATCCTCCAATCCAGTGCAGATCAGTCTTCTCCTACAAAATGATAATCAGGTTCCTGAAGAGGTTGGAGAGACTCTTATCTCCAGATTTGCAGCCCAGTCCCCCTGTAGAACTTAAATCTGGGACTCTTGGCTCCCGGGTCCCCCCTATCTGAGCTGCCTGCTCCTCTTCACGGAAGGTCGCTTTCCTGGTAGTGATGACTTCTGCTTGGCGGGTCTCCAGGTTCCAGCTGCCGGCCTGGTCGTCTTACCAAATATAGCGTCTGTTCTCTTATAATCAGGCCATCTTTTTATCTGTCTTTTTCCCCAATACCTTGCAAGAATAATGAGGAGCATTGGTTGTACTTGACCGTAGCCTTGTACATCGAGAGAACCAAACCCTTCTGTAACTGATGCAGTTTTTTGTCATATTGGTGGACAAGATGAAGGGCTTGCTGATTTCTCTCAGAGGATCACCTCATGGATAACTGCCTACATCAAGTTTTGCTATGCATAAGCAAGGATGACACTAGAACACAGGCTTCTTCATTCGTGTTCCTCATGCAGATACCAATCTGAGATATGTGCAGAGCCATTAGCTTTTCTTTGGACCAGTGTCCCATGACATCATCGCCTAATAGACCTGGGGCAGTGCCAGCTTTGGCAGAGTGGTGTTGCAAGCAGCACATCTGTAGAGTCTGAGCCCACCTCCAGGGATACTGCTTTTGAGTCAAAAAACATGGAATCGATATGACTAAGTGCTCAAAAAAAGGTGGGGGGTTACTTATCTTTCATAACTGTTCTTCTGGTGGCGTTCCTCATGTCCATTCAGTGATTCATCTTCCTTGCCTGCTGTCTGAGTTGACGGCAAGAATGAACTGAGAGGTCACGAGACTTGTAGCATCCCACATACTGTCACATAGGCTGCAGGGGGCACTAGAGACAGTCCTCTGTGTACCACTGAAGGGAAACTCTTCAGTAGCTATGCTTGTAGGTATTTATGCTGTATAGCAGATTATAATAAGTGCATACTTATACAATTTTTATATTAATGAATTAAATATTGCCAATTTTTGAAAAAAAAATTCAGGGCAGTTACTGAAAGTCCTGGTAATGAACTAAGGTAAGGCAGAATAAGAACTTACTTTCAGCAAAGGACTGTACTCGATAAGGAACCTAAGAAGTTTCCCTGAGAATCCTCTAGCATTTTATTCTTTTTTACATAGACTTGTAATGTGTGCTTTGTTTACAGAAAAATGTAGATGTGCAATAGTTCTTTGCGTTCTTTGAAAGTACACTGCACAGTAAATAACACTTGATGTGCATAGGATTTTACACTAAGGTTTTTTTCTTATTTCATTTTGTATTTTTTCCTTATAATTGTCAGTATATTTCTGTGCGATGAGGGAATGATAGAAAAGCCCTCATGAATCTAATTTAACACTTAAACATGTCTAATGATATTAGTCTCTCACACACAAATCCCACGAATCCACTGTAATGAGCAGTGTTTGCTTTCAGTGACAGTGAGTATGAATTCTAGTACAATTTAAATTTCTGCATTTTCCAGTCAGTGTAATAATAACTTAACCTTCAAGTTTTCTGAAGACTTAACAAAGAAAGTATGTCTAGTCCTAGGATAAAAATACTTGAACTAATAAAAAGATGTAATGTGTAAAAACCGTTAGGTTAGAAAATACCTAATTACAAAAAAGGTGGCCTTTCTACATTAGCCTTTTGTCTATAATTTACTGCTGTTAATGATGCAGCTCTGGTTGTGGTAGCACTATCATAGACAAGACACTGACAGCTGCTGGTATTTTTTTCGCCATCATGTCATACATTCCCATTATTGCTTTAAATTAATAGAGCTTCGTGGGCAGTAGCAATAGCTGGAAATTAAGGAGAGAGGGCAAGAGAAGACATAGCTGGTTAGTACTAACAGTATCACCCAGTCTGCAGTACAGACTTGTGGTGGTACATAACTACTACACCCCTAAGCAATGTACTTATTCTGTTTTCAATCTCCTACTCCCCGTGTAACCCGCTTCTTTGGGAAGTGGATTAACTATGCTGATGCTGAACTCATTCCTGTTGATGGAGTGTTTTCACTTAAGTGTTACATTGGTGCTGAACTGATGCAGCATTTTAGGTGTAGATCTGCTCTTCTTTCCTTAATAAAATTTTTTGAGTGGTGTGAACTGAGGATTAGTTAACTAATAGCAGTTGTTTCGACATGAACATTTAAATGAAACTACTGAAATGCTTGTTAGGAATAGTTTGAGTGTCATTGGAAATGTTTCAGATTTTTAAAATCCTACACTATTACATTTCTGTAATGAGTTCAGTCACTATACTAATTCAATCTGGAAGCAGAGCCATAACAGAAGGTTGGATGTGTCACAGCAGCTTAGTTTTAATATATGTTGGAAAGATGCTTGCTTGATCTCTGTAAGATTGTAATTCTTTGTGTGGTCACAAAAAGTTATACTTTGTAGTGTCTGGGGTGCTATGAATTAGCTTGTGCCTTTTCCTTCTCGACATGTGGTGTAGGAAGTAGGCCTGAGGGTTTTATGGCTTTTTAGAAATCCATGTGGTATGTAGCTTTTAGGATGATTGAAGAATGGTGATTAATGAATCCATGATAATGAAGATTGAAGAATTCAGAGAGGAAGGATTTTTTTTTATGGAGTCATATAGTAAAACTTCTTTGCAGCCCTTGGAAATGTGCTGTTAAGGTTCCAATCTAAAGTTATCATTAGTACATCTGTGGCTTTAGGCATCATAGTAGGAGGTATGGATGTGAAAGAGAGAGGGGGTTGGAAGGGTCAGTAGCTGTTATCTGTGTGTAATTATTATTTATAGAAACATAATTGATGATACCATGTTAATCAGTTATACTTCTCACACAGTAAACTGGGAATATTTGGTCACAGTAGGTATACTTGTTTAGTTAGCTCAGCACTTTATTCTGAACTTGAGTTTTTAACTATTTGACAAATGTCTTTATCGATATGCTAAGTTTACTTTTCTTGGCAGCAGGAAAAAAATCTTTGTGACAATTGTCTGTGTAATTGAATTTATTAGGATAGGATCTGCTTGTTAAATTTTAGCTTATATAACTGTCTAAAATACAAAACATCTGTATGTGTTTTATTTCTAATTAGAGTCTTTGTTGGCATGTTTACACAGCAGTGTTATTTTGGAATAACTGACGTTATTTTGAAATAACAAAGCATGTGTCTACACAGCAAGTCATTATTTCGAAATAATGGAGAGCTGGAGGATGTCTTATTTTGATTCCTATAACCCTCATTTCACAAGGAGTAAGGGAAAGTTGAAGGGAGATTGTTCTTCCTTCAGCTTCCTGCTGTGTAGACAATGCCAAAAGCCGAATTAAGCTAATTTGACTTCAGATATGCAATTGATGTAGCTGAATTTGCATAGCCTAATTCAACTTTTGCCCTGCTGTGTAGATGTGCCTTGTGTAAGCTTGGCAGCACTAGGCACTGCTTCTGTGCTACTCTACCCTTAATCCCACCTTAAAATTTGGTAGAAATCATTAACTTTGTAATATGTGATTTCCTTACTTTGAATATAAATGGTTCAGGTACTGCATGTATAATTTAGTACATTGTTGTGTTCGTGGAAGTGATCTAGAAAACTGATTTTTTGTGTGCAATTAATAGCACAGATTAGTACAATTTGTCAACTTTACTTACTATTTTAGGGTCTGGGACAAAGTTATTAGTGGATCCTGCAAGATTCTTGTTTTTGTTGCTCTGGAGATTTTATTAACCTTTAAGATGAAGATAATGGCCCTGAATAACACAGAGAAAATCACACAGTTCCTTGAAAATGTGAGTACTCATCCTAACTGTGCATTATTTTTGGTGCTGTAGCAAATATTTGCAGGTTGAAGCAAAAAAATCTTTAATCCTTTAATTTAAGCAGCATGAAAAAGCATTGCAAAATGTATTACATACTATTACCCACTATTCTGAGAACTGGGTAATACTTAGGGAGATAAGGTAGATTGAGGGATATTTTGATTGTAGGTTAAATGTACGAAAGCAACGTTCAATGTTTGTATGTATTTAAGTTTTCTATTATTTTAATAGCTGTTGCTATTACATTATATTGCTAACTTTTAGGGGGGAAAGAATCCATGAGGTGGCTGGTTCAGGGTTTTAGGAATGGGTGATATAGGCTTTTACCTTTAGAGACCAGATTGATAGCTACCTTCAGAAAAATCTGTAGGAAGGATCACTGTCATTTAAAGGTCCCCAGATTGTTATCTGCGGTATGATTGGGCCTCTTCCTCCCCCACATTGGATGCATGAGGCAATAGGTTCCCTGTGTGGACCATCAGTGCCTGAGCACTACCTTGAGTTGTCTTGCTAGAACTACTTGTATCCTGGCATTGGATCCTATTCATGTTCATGTGCTACTGAAGGACTTCTGTGAAAAATTTGTGGCTTCCAGCTATGTTAATTTTAAAACATTCCTTACAAAGAATTTCTTCCCTCCCTCCCCCCCTCTCTTTTCCTCCCCAAAAAGGGCTTTTAGTGTAGGTGACTGAAACCTCTGTTTATGTGGAAAATCTATAGAGATCATTTCTCTGAGAGCTAGATGTCAAGCTGGCCATACTTGAGCATTTCAGATCTATCCCAAGGCATTGAAGATCATGAGTTGTTCTGAAAGGCAGATACTGCATGTGTCCATTTTTGTAAATCTTTTGATTAGAGAAAGAAATTACAAGTTTGGAAGTGGAGACAATGGAGAAAAAGTAACAAGAATTTGATTTAGGCTGTCTGTTAATCTTTTGACTACCTTGTTAAAACAAATCTTTCTCTTGTTCTTTTGTAGATTCCTCAAGATAATACTGATGCAATAGTGAGCAAAGCTATTGATTTGTGGCACAAACATTGTGGGACCCCAGTACATTTGGTATGAGAACTTGCTGTAGTCATCAGCTATTGGAAGGACATATTTTCTGATGGTCCTTCCCTGGATTAATATCTAAAATTGTTTCACATTTTCTCTGTAAATGTCAAGGTGATGAATATGTAAAAGCAATAGAAATAAAGACAGTTGGCTTGAGCAGTTATTTTTGTAAGATAATGGCAACATTCAAGTGGGCTAGTGTGATGGTTCTCAACCTTTTCAGACTACTGTACCCATCTCAGGAGTCTGATTTGTCTTGCAAAGCCTCAAGATTCACCTCATTTAAAAACTACTTGCTTACAAAAATGTCATAGCACACTATTACTGAAAAATTCCTTATTTTTTACCATATACTTAAAAATAAATCAGAATATAAATAGTACTTACATTTATAAACAAGGCACAGTCTGTGTGAAATTTTTGTTTGTACTGACTCTGCTAGTGTGTTTTATATAGACAATTGTAAATTTAGTCAAATATCTACGTGGGTTGACATACCCCAGTGAAATGCATATCCCTGGGTGAGAACCACTAGGCCAGGTCCACTAAACTGTAACGTTAATTCTAGTTGTTCAGCAGTGAAAGGTCTAATATACTTGCAAATACAGATTTGCCTGCTTCTTCCTGCCACACTACAGGCAGTCCCCGGGTTACGTACAAGATAGGGACTGTAGGTTTGTTCTTAAGTTGAATCTGTATGTAAGTCAGAACTGGCATCCAGATTCAGCCGCTGCTAAAACTGATCAGTTTCAACAGCGGCTGAATCCGAGGCAGAGTTGCTCTGCCCTGGGCTTCCTGGAATCAGCC